CGTACTACTTTGTTCCACTTTCATTCTCTCACTCCTGCTTACTCCTGTGTGAAGAGCGCATGCGGTGGTTTGGAAAGCGTGCTGCTAAATGAAACAAACAGAGATCTCTTTGTACTCTTTGTGTGTGAATAACTCCTCCGCCCACCTCTTGTTTTAAGCGTCTAACGTTACCATTAGTCACACAGTTTTTTAACCATTAGCCATTTCTAGTATCCACTGGGTCAGGTGGTGTGTTTATGAGAGGGCTGATTCTGCTTAACACACGTTATGGAAAGTGTTATGTGGGACTTTCATCCCCGAGCTGCAGCAGCTAACTGAGAACTTGGAAAAAGGATCGTGGCATGTTTTTAATTTGACTCCCATGTTCAGTTTTGATAGCAACAGAGGCAAGCTGAACGAGCCAGACATTTCCTGAAAGGCAAAACGCAACATCAATTAACTGCAGAGGTGACGTTCCCCTGATGGCCACGCTCACAGGAGTCTGTCTGATGCAACATTGCAACTCATCATGAAATTTTCTATTTTAAATATGGCTGCTGCTGATGAAGAGCTTTTTCAGGACAGGCTTTAATGCACATTTATGATCAAAGTCTCGCAAATAGCTGCCTTTTTTCATTATATTTCAAATATTGGGATTTGGTGCCAACTTAAAGGCTTTATATTCGATTTTTTGATCCAGCAGGTGTCGCCCTTGAGCACCAGCATGAAACCAAAACAACTTGCGCTGCATTGTTGTGTTAGCATGCTAATGCTAGCGATCTTTATTATGCTGGTATCTTCACACTGCATGTAAATTTACCTGAAATGAGCGTGATCTAGAAACACAGTTAAGCAGTGAGTACAGTATGTTATTCTTCTTTTCTCTAGTCCCTCAATTAAACAACTTTTATACACGAGGGGAGGAGTCAGCCGGCCGTCCCGGCGATGTAAACAAAGTGAAGATAGGACTCTGAAAACTCTGAAAACATCACAGACAGTGGGACTCGGGTGTTACACCCATTGTAGACAGTCATGACTCAGAGTTCTTTTCAGAGGATATACTTGATTTATATTACATTGAAGTGTGAAAAATCACATATAAAGCCTTTAATAGAATATGAATCATACATTTAGTTGACTTTCCTGCGTTTTGTCTTTCATACATTTCCCATTTTGAAAATAAAAACAAGCCCACCATTAAGCTGAGTTCATGTGAAGTGTTTGTTTACTAATGTGAAAATGGACAAACTGGGTCAAAACTCTCATTCGGTTTCATAAAAACAGAGCCACTCTAAAAAGCAGTATGTATTACATCTGTTCAAAAGCAAAAAATTATAATTGGAGCATTTCGTGGAAATGACCCAGCGGATTGAAGATAATGGGATCATGAATCAGCTTGAACACATTTCTAAATGAAGTGTTTACCTGCATAGAAATAAGAGATGTGAGACTGGGTGTTAGGTGAGAAAATCAGCATACTAAACACAAACTCTGCCCGTGGTTAACTACAAAAAATATCTGTATTATCCACTGAACCTTTTAGTATTTCACAGGGATGGTGACCATAAATGGAGCAACGCCTGCGTGCAAGCTGGTTCAGGCAGGCCAGTGGAGCTGCACTCATTTCACACCGACGTGTCATTCTCCACAATCATCTGACAAACTTATCCTCCAAAATTAAAGGTCTTTTTAAAGATAAACTATGTCGAATTTTACACTAAAATATCTGAATTAATTAAAAATTGTCTAAACCTATATATTTTTTACTTACTGGTACATTTTCTCAAATGTTTCCAACAGTTATCAAAGCCAGAGAAATCCTTCATTTTATAGTCTTGTCTTGTCGTGATGACCGCCATGACAGAGCCACCATGACAGACATGACGTGTTTATTGCTGCCATGGAAACACCAGATGTTACTTTAAAGACCGCTGCACAAGGAAGCGTGAGCTGTTACTGAAAGCTGCCGTTTTGTTGCTGCATGTGATGCTGTGATAAAAAAACGTCATGTAAATTATACCTAGATACATCGTCAGTAAACATAACGGGGAATCACTCCCATGATTTCCCATTAGCATCGAGGTTATCTGTTGTTATTGTTTTGATTGAGAGCCCCCTGGTGGCGGAATTTAAGCTGGAAGATTTCCCTTCTCTCCCATCATAGCCGCTCTGCCCTGCCTCACCTCAGTACTTCCCTCTTGCTTTCAGCCCCTGAATCAAGGGGGGTAAGGTGGTATTCAAGTTATCTTTATTAGTCAAATGCACAATATAAAAAGCAAAGCAGTCATAGCTGGCAATTACATTTTTGTGTTCCAAGCTCTCCTTAACAATGCAAAAAATAAAAATAGTATAGAAGATAAGAGTAACAACGTACTGCATCACTCATCAAATTTCTGCATTTAAAATAAATCTGCGTGCACCCATTACAGACAATTTCCTCCAGATACACTTTTTAAGATTTGGATTAAATTTGTCCTGACAGAAATGTATAGTTTTATATGGTGAGTTTGTCATTAGGTGTTTTTAGTAGTAAAATAGTCATGTTTTTTTCAAAACATTATGATGAAGTTTAATGTTTACTTAACGCTGAATGAGATTACGAAGTTTCTAAATAATGCAAGGACTGAGTTGAGGTCCGCTTCTGCAATGCAATGGCGCTTTGGCACGTAAGTGAGGGGGCGTGGCTTTTGAGGGAGCACAGAGGGGAGGGGGTGGGTGTAGACAGAGCACTGAAGGAATGCTACTTTCAAAATCATGCTAGTTTTCAAAAATAACCAACTCTGCCTTAAATCGATTTCAAATGCACCTCTCTTCTTGTTACAACACACAGTATATATTTCAGTCTTGAGAAATGGTTATGACAGTTCACTGCAGTAGATGATCCCAGCTGACTTCACTATGCCTGTCCTTGTCACAGCACCAGTAGATGTCTGAACAGCAGCTTTCCTGTGAAGTCTGCACTGTTCTGATGTGAGGTATATAGGCTTATAAATTTTGAAAGTATAGCCGTGAAGCTCTTTAATATTGCAGTATCTCATATGAAAACGTAACCAACTTTTCAACCAGCTTCAACTCATCAGCCAGCAAAGTCCCCCTGAATGTAATGACACCAGAGCAGCACACTAACAAAAGATCAAAAGCTCGACAGTTATTACGATTGTGGTTTGTTCTGACAACTCTGCACACAATGCAGCGTCTATAGAGCCAAAGAGCAAGACAGAGAGGCAAAGGCTGTAATCCATCACCCGGCTCAACGGTTTAAAGTTGTTCACAAGAAGAAGAAGAAGAAGAAAATGATGCAAATGTACTGCAGCGATAGAGAGAATGAAAATAAGAGGAGAGCGAACGCTGCGTTGGCAACTTTTGTCTTTAAAGAGTCAACCCCTCAGAGCATCATCTCAACTGTCTGACTCCGAGCTCAACACGCTCCACTCATGCAAATATCGGCTGCTGCAACCAGGAGCAACAGTGATGCTTTAGCAACTTTATATAGGAGGGAGGAAAAGTGCAAATTCAGATTCAGAGACAATAAATATCAATATAAACGCAGCATCATGGTGACTGACACCTTGTGTAAACTTTAAGACCAGTCCTCGTTTAGACCAGCACATAACCCTGTGTACTTTGCATCAAATGACGACAATGAAAGGATGGAAAGAAGTACGTTGAGAGCTGGGATTTATACTTCTTGGTGACATGCATATAGACACAGCAGCTCAGTCCTCTCAGTGATGCGGTTTTGTTGTCATCAGGTTTGAATGTGTATTGTTTGTATGATGCCTGAGGAGTCAACACACATAATCTCGTTGTACACCTACAATGACAATGAAGTGTCTCATGTATTATTCAGAGCTCATAGTGTCTAAATGTGTTTCTTTTCCAGTAGTGAAAAAAAATGCAACAGGATGTTTTATTTCATCCTGTGAGGCTTACGGTGATGCTTTAGTATGCTGCACATGCATCCCAATAGTACGATGAGATGTGCAAATGGTTTGTTACTCACCATTTAAATTCAAAAGTACAGTGACCTGCTTTAAGGACAATTCAAACTTTGGTACCTTTTTTTATTAACAAAGCCATTTTTGGGCAAAATTCCCACCTATGCATCCTCTCTCAGTCTCAAAGTATGGAAATTGTAACCGTTGGTTGTATTTAGATAGAGATGAAATGTGTTGTTCTACTTAATTCACTCAACTCGGAACCTTCAAATCCCAGCCATTTCCAGTCACTACCGGTGTTCCTCAGGGTTTTGTCCTGGGCCCCCTTCTGTTCATCATCTATCTCCTTTCTCTTGGCCATATTTTCCGTAAGTATAACATCCAGTTCCATTGCTATGCGGATGACACCCAGCTCTACCTATCCACCAAAGCCACCTCCTCCCTCCCGCCCACAACCTCGCTCCACTTTACCTCTCTGAACTCCTGCACATCAACACACCTACCTGCACTCTCAGGTCTTCTTCTTCCATTCAACTCACTGCACCACCCGCCCGCTTGTCCACTGTGGGGTCCAGGGCATTCAGTTGCTCTGCCCCCCCAGCCTCTGGAACTCCCTCCCACCACAAATCTGTGATATCGACTCTCTCTCCATTTTCAAATCTCAAAACACATCTTTTTAAACTGACATATTCAGTCTGCTCATTCCCCATCCGGTCTCATAACTCCTTTACATCCTGTACATTTGTGGTTTTAATGTTAATTTTATCATTGTGTTGTTACTTTGTCTTTCTTAATTTTCTGCATGAAACAGTCTGCAGACAGATCTTAAACTTCAACACTTAGTTACCCTTTTTTAATCTTCTGTAAATTCAACAAGAGGGTGTGTGTTAATGCCATCAAGGAGCGCCCCCTCCAAAAACTTCAAGATGTTTCACAATATGCTGCATCATCACTATTTGTAATGTTATCTGAACACTGATAGTTTTGGTCTGTGTAGGCCAAAATCTCTCCCTAGCCACTTCATACACCACATCATGCTCTAAAGTCACAGCACAGAAGCTCAATGCATGTCAAAAGACTCACTGCTGTAGCTTGCATTCCAAGGTTGGTATCCATAATATCCGGTGATCCGCAGTATCCGCTCCTCTATGGACGCGCTGTTGATGTCCTCAACTGAGCGCGACGATTTCATGTCCTCCTTGATGGCCTCGTCCACCACCAGGTACTTGAGCTGTCTGAGCTGAGGGCTGATGTCCGAAAGCCTTCTGGGGCTCACGTCGGGAGACTTGCGCATCCCGCTGAGAAGAGAGAACAAGGGGTGGGTGGTACAGGGGGTGTTACGAGGAAAAGTGTTTTTTAAGTTCAAAGGGAAGACTTTGAACCTAGTCAGAGACACGCTTTTGTTTAAACCACGAGAGTCAGTGGTGTTTGTTCCAGGGAGCCCGGTGTTAAGGGCCCCTGCAGCGCCTCCACACAGTACAGACATCATCATCCTTCACTGGCCCTGCGTCCGCACAACAACACCGTGCAAGATGCTAAGTGGAAGTGACTGCTCCTGCAACTGTTGGAGGCTATACTACGCACAGTGCAACTCCCATTATAAAAGCCTATAATGGAACAGCTATACGAATGTGAAACTAATGGATCGATCACGATGAGAGGGGGAACACTTGTGACAGGATGTGCAGGCACTGGAGCGCACACTTTCCATCCAACTCCTCGAATATCCTTTAAAGCCCAGAGGAGATACTACTGGTGGTTTCTGTGTGTCCAGTAGGTGAGATGAAAACGTAACAGCATCATTTAATACTGAACAAATAGTGTTATGTTCCTGGAAAAGTAGCACAGTGTTAACCTGAAAACAAAACAGACCAAGTGAGAAAAACGGTGCGTAAAAAAATCTCTACTGTGCAGCGAAATCTTCATCATAGCCCGGTTAATGTTAATGCAAACACGCAACATTCCTGTAAGGTATTTACTCTGAATTTAAAACATTAATACAATATATTTTAAGCACTTCTCCTTCAGAAAAGTCGATGCACTTTATCAAATATGCTTTGGAATCATGTGCGCAACAGGTGCAGCCCGCCATACTCTCGTTCGGCTGCAGCGCATCAGTAAAACTTTAAATGTCTTACATCGGCATCAAAGTGGTCGGAGGTCCAAGGTAGCACATGCAGTCCCGGTGGGGCCGCCCGATCCGGTCCCACACTTTGCCTTCTCCATCCCCGTACATTCTCAAGGCCACTGATGGGGAAGCAGCTCCCGGGAAATCTAAATCCTCATCCAGACTGAAAGGAGGCGAGCACCATCGTCCTCCTGCTGCTGCTGCTCCTGCTCCTCACCCCCAACAAACATATGCCTGGACACCACAGCGCACACTGTTTCAGTGCTCAAAGGATGCGCTCTGCTCTGGTTCTACACGATCCGGGAGGCACTGCAACAGCGCCATCTACCGGATTGACTGAAACTGTTTTTATCTGCAAGTCTGAAATAGAGTGAAGGTTCTCTACGAGCTAAAGATAAAGATAAACTTTATTGATCCCCGTGGGGGAAATTTGTGCATTACAGCAGCTCCAGAAAACAGGGGACGGGAATATAATTATTAAAAATAAAAATAGAAGTTAAAATCAAATCAAACAAACTATGATGAAAAATTTACATATGTTAGATTTGATTTTTTTTTCTTGTTATTTTTGAGAATTATATTCCTGTTTCCTGTTTCTTGAGCTGCTGTGATGAAAAAAATTCCCCAATGGGGATCAATAAAGTTTATCTTTATCTTTATAACAAAATATGAATTAACTGTCTTACTAATGACACAAAACTCTAAATCTCAGTCTGCACATATCTCCACCTTGACTGAAGCAGCTCTTTCACTAGAGGACGATCTAAATGGCCAGAAAACATATTTTTCTGTGGCTCTGTGACCCGAAAAAAAAGATTCAGTTAAGAGTAAACCAAACACCAATTGTCAGCTGCTCCAAACTTTGACTTTTATCAGTTCCTTCTTCCTTCAAACTGTCTTGTTAAAACACATGCAGCAAGTCTCCCTATAGCTCAAGATGGGGGAAAAGGAACACCTGTTACAGATAAACTTGTACTGTGAAGTAGGTATTTCATATGTAAGCAAAGAAACCTGCCAATTTTATGTGGATCAAAGCAGCAGTCTCGATTTCAGAGAAAATAGGAGATGAGAATGTGAAGCATAAGCACAAGACACTAGGTGCTTAGGTCCTTTGAAACCTCTTTAATTTCCTCAGATATGTTTTTTTTGTTTGAATATTTTATGCCAATGCATCCATTCTAACACTTAAGGGAAACACAGAATAGTTGTTTCCAGGAAAGTCTATTGCTTTCCCCTCTTATAGGTAAGCTGGTTCTTGAGTAACATCTCTCTCTAAAATGCAGAATATGTAAAAAAAAAAAAGAAACACATCAGCCCAGCAAGAAAACAGTTTCACTGCTTTAACCATCAGTTCACAGGCCACTGAGGTCTTCTTTGTTTTATTATTCATAGTCTTCTTTACCAGCAGCGTTTCACACTGATGGCAGGGCCTGTGTGTTTTGATTGTGTGTGAGGCAGAGGCAGAAGTGAAACAGTAGAAATGTTTCAGTTCAATGCCACAAAATCAAAGACAATTACAGGGGATTTGATTGCATCCAATCAGAGCCGTGCTCCCAGTAATGAGGTAATTAGGATCACATGTGGCGATAATATCTACTCGGAAAATTAAAATCATGTCACTCTCTGTTGTGTTCAGAAATGTGAATATTCAACAATGACAGGTCATGTTGTGTTTTCACAACTCTGTTAAAACATGATTCATGACCTTAAAAGGAAGTAATGTCAGATAAAGCCGAGAAGCACATGCAGTTTAAAGAACGGGAAAGGATGAAGCTCTACCTTGTGTAAAGGTGGTGGTGTCGCTCATAGGTCCCAGGTTGGTGGTCCACTCGCTGCATTGCGTCGGCATCCTGTGAGCTCCTGACTGTGAAGAGCAGCACAAGTACTCCGACAGTTTTTTTTTGAAGACAGGTTTTTCATCGATCAATGACCAGCCACCACAGTGGGGTGGATGGAGGGGGAAAGGGGGAGGAGGGGGGGCCATTGCTTACTCGAGCAAAAAAAAAAAAGTGGAGTCCAGTCATCAATACTTGGGTCAACACCTTCCAGCGACGGTATTAAGGGAAGGAGAGGATCAGGTTCATCCTGCATAATGCACCTCTCAACTTCACAGCTCAGCCAAGGCCAAATCAATCCTCTCTGATTGACCTTCTGCTTTGCCAAAACCTAAATTGTGTGGAGAGCGCAGAGCCTATAAATATCAAAATAGTCGGGAGTGCTGATAAATACAAATCATTCATGGCCATTCAGTGCAACAGCACGATTCAACACAGGGGACCGGGGGCCAAATCAGGCCCCTCAAACAGCCATTAAATCATTTTAAAAAGACCATAAATAAAACAACTAGGGCGTCAAGCAGCACTGAACGGGCCCTTTTTCATGTCACAAAATAAATTTTGAGGGCTCGCCACGGCCACTTAGTTTAAGTTTTGTACACAAGCTTGCTAACTTTTCATCATCAAGGTCCCTCCTAGCTGTACACCAAATTTGAGCTTGATCATTTCTCTCTATCTCCCAGGAAGAGTTAATCAAACAATGACCCTAAAATGGGCAGAAAATATTCTACTTCCTGTTGAGTTTAGAGTTTGGGCACACGGTCTCTTTTGTAGCTATGCACACCAAATTGTATCCATGTAGGTGTCACAGTGTGAGGCTTTCTTGATCAAATATTTGGGGGCGCTGTGGAGGCATTTGGCATCTCCCATTTGTGTGATTCATGTAGAAAGTCTGCTTCTGCTTCTGCTTTGAGTGCAACATTTCCAGAGTCTTTGAGGGTATTTAGGCTGTCAGAAATTTGATTTATTTGGCTCACTCAAGTAAACTCCTAGCCTCTGCACCATTGGTCCTAATTAAGATAATTCTTCCTGTGAAGCTTGCTTCTTACTTTGTTGATGCAGCTACACAGAGATAACCTAAGTTCATTGGTAAGTTGATTATTGCATCATTATAGGATAATTGCTTTATTTGCAGGCTATTTAGCCCTTTAGTACAGAGCCCCTAAATTCCCCAAAAGTTTGTTATCTTGTTGGAGCTTTTTAGGGACATTAGGGGGTTCTGTATATTAGCAGGTGTGTCTGATGTTGTTCCTGGAAAGGTGTGTTTGATTTAAGGTTTCAACACAAGCTGATAAAATGAAGGGATTAAGCTCAAACTTAAGAATAAACATGTTTAATTCAACATCATGTTTATTCAAACTGCAGCCTACTTCTCTCCAAGGATTATAAAAGGATTACTGATGGCACATTCAAATCTGTCCAATCTAAATAGTTATTCAGAAGCCTTCCAGTACAGGATCTTCAAATCCAGCAGCCCTCTACAGGAGGTTTAACGGATGCCCTGAACTACAGCTTGCTGCTCTCTTTTCTAAATATGGAGACGAGACGTCGTAGAGGCAGAAGCTCGAGGCAAAGAGACATCAAACACACTCAGTGAGAGTTATCCAAATGTTGCTTCCCACACGATAAATAGAAAAACAGATCATTGGGCTGTAATCAGAGTTCACAGTGATTGGTTCTTTATTATACAAATCAAAGGCTAACTGACCTCTTTTCCCAGCAGACATCGTGAATAGTAATTAAATTTACAACAACTCAGCACGCAAGCCGATTTGCTAACCTTAATATAAAGCAGCCATGGGAAGATATTTGGCTGGCAGGAACACATCTATTAAAACTGTCTCCAGCTCAGTGGCTCGTCTGTTTGGACACAAGAGCAAATTTAGGTTCCCAAGTCAAATCAATCGTTCTGAAAGTAGATTTTCTGGTAAATCTTCTCACCATAAACTATTAGTAAACTACTCAAGTTGTTGTTAATCAAGGCAAAACGCACATACAAAACATTCAGCTCAAACTTTTGTGAGGGGGAGGCATCCATGAGGAGAGCTAGCTTCCTTGTTTTTTGAGAATTTTCCCCAACAGGTGAGCTGGCTTCCTTTATAGACTCTGAAGCTCCGCCCATGCAGGTCGTAAAGAGGAAGTAAAGTTTGAGGAGAGGGTGGCATTATTATCATTTTTTTTGTTGCAAATGGCTGCAGTGAAAAAGTCAAATGGGCCTTTTGTCTGATTAGATATTTCTGTTCTAGTTTAACAGATGTGTGAATCCTAACACTTTGATATCAGGGCTCTGATTCTGTGCATTCTAACTCACAGAGGAGGTGCGGCTTGCTTTGGTTATGTAAAAAAACACATGGACACTAAATGTTGCTTTATTATAAGTGATGATACCGTCATGTCCATTTCTATCTTCCTTTAAAAAAAGGAACATTTCTCAAGATTGGGATTTTTAATAAGTTGAAATGAAAAAAGTCAAACTACATATCACTGATCTTGTTTTTCTGGAATTTAACAAGATTTCAGAGTGCAACAGCTCTGCAGTCGGGGGGGTGAAAACAGCGACAAAGTGGAATCAAAATCTCATCATCCTTCATCATAACCTCCCCTTGAGTTCTTTTCTGCACCCCTGCAAAAAAAAAAGACTTTGTCAGAAATTAGAGCCAGCTTGTAATAAGTCCTGATCTTCTTCCTCCGTTATTTCTCTCGTTCTGGTGTGGCTGGTTTTTTTGTACAATTTCAGCAAGCATGATGTTAATGCTCTCGCTTTTCCCCATCAATATTTCATGCAGCTCCCAGCCTGGAAACAGCGTGACAGCAAAGCGGCTGATTGGCCGGCAGGGGAGGAGAAATGAAACTCTGAGCCAGTAAAAAGACACAACCAACTCTGCATTTTAATTATTTATAGGGTTTAGTAAACACTTTATTTCTCGCACCATGTGAGATGATTTCTGAATATGGTGACATAAGGAGGACTGCGTTGATATGATCCATAGAGGGATCTATTCCTCTGAAAGCGTCCTTATGTGTTCAAATGTTTATTCAGCCAAGAGGAAACATAACCTTTACGAAACTGGCACCCTGTAGTCCCAGGCGCCTCTGTGATTTCTTTGGGGTAAATGTGTTATTTTGCTGCCATTATTGGTAAGGTTGACACACAGCTGGAGTGTGACCAGGATCTCAGCGGATGAGGGACCTGCTGATTATGTGCTCACATTGTGAACCAGTTATCTGCTGAGGTGAACAGCTCCAGCTCCAGGAGGAAGAGAAGACTGACAT